TCTGCGTAGCTTTGCGCCTTTCCTGGAACTCACTTGGTAGCCCAGGCTGACCTTGAACTCACAGAGATCCGCTTCTTCCTAATTTCTCTCCCTCCTGCTTAAATCTTTTGACCTAAGTATTGTGACCTCTACTTTCTATCATGGATATACTACCATCCCCTAATCCCTTGAAACATGCTGCAGAAACCCTAATCATAGCCCATTTCCTTAATCTATCATCTATCTATCTTCTACTATTTCTTTCTTTCTCAGGGGAGAGCATGAATGCAGTCCACCACTACCACAAATTAGGCAGTCAAGCTGAGGGAAATCCCTTTAGGGAAATCACAGGGATCAGCATATCTGGAGTGTAACACATAAGCCTTGACCTGGATGGGCAATTTTGTGATTATGGTGTCTCCCCTGCCAGATAAGCATTCAAACACATCACTTTAAAATGTAATCTTCAATCTTTTGTTTCCACAGTCTCATGTTCATCTTATAATTAAAAATACAAACTTCAAAAGACTCATAATCTTTAACAATTCTCATAGCCCAAAATTCATTTCTCATCTTCTATTCAAGGCATTCTCTTAACTGTGAACTCTAAAACAAACAAACAAACAAACAAACAACAACAACAACAAAACAAGTGACTTACTTCTAAACCACAGTGACATAGAACAAACATTCCTATTTTTAAAATGAAAAAAAATCAGGAAGCAGAAGAAATCATTGAATCAAAGCAAGAAATAAATCCACAAAATCCTCTAGTTCCATATCTGGCATCGAAGGTTTGTAATAGAATGGGCTGGGTTCCAAAGGCCTTAGATGGTCCCACCTCTTCAGTTCTGAGACATGCAACACATGTGATTCTCCTTTGGGCTGGCTCTGTTCTGTGCCTGCTGGTTTCCTTGGAAGATATTCCATAGCCCCAGTGTCTCCAACGTCCTGCTGTCATCAGTGCAGTTTATGCTTACTTCTTATTTTATTTATTTACTTATTTTAACTTATTTACATTTAAAAAATTTATACTTTTTAAAAAATGCCATATTTGAGTATTGTATTTATATTATTTCTAACTCCCTCCAATCCTCCCTTGTCCTTAATCTCTCCCTCCCAACTTCATTAGCTCTTCTTTAGTTATTATTGATGCTATTTATATACATACATACATACATACATACATACATACACACATATGGTGATATTTTATTTGCACTGAAATGTGATTTTATTTGTATGTTAATAAATAAAGTTGCTTGGGGGTCAGAGCTAATAGCAAGTCATAGCAGAAGCTGGGCAGTGGTGGCGCATGCCTTTAATCTCAGCACCTGGGAGGCAGAACCAGGTGGATCTCTGTGTGTTCAAGGATACAGCCAGTGTAGAGACACACACCTTTAATCTCAATACCAATCATAGAAGACCTGTAGGTCTGTATAGACAGGCAATGACGAGGAGGTCATGTGGTTGGGTTTACAACCAATGAGAAGGCAGAACAGAAATTCAATAAAAGGACAGACACACAGGAAGTAGGTCTCTTTCTGAGGGGAAGGACAGCAGCAGCAGTGAAGGGTAAAAAGGGTTTTTAGTATCAGCTCTCAGCTATTGCTCTGACCTCTTGGGCTCTCAACTCTGCATTTGGCTCTGTTTCTATTTTAATAAGACGGTTACATCTACACACATGCATACATACATATATACATACATACATATATACGTACATACACACACATATACATATATGTGAGTACATTTAGTGTTCACATACATGATTATGTTAAGGGCTGACCACTTATGATTGGATAACCTATCAGGGCTCACCCCTGGAAAAGACTAATCTCTCTCTCTCTCTCTATTAATTGCATATTGTTCTTCATCTAGTGTGGGACCTTGTGATATTTCCCTCATCCATGTTGGGATATCAACTAGCGCTGCCACTGTGCAGATCTTGTTTAGGTGACCATATTGTTAAGATATCATGGGTATCACTTCTTGTCTGTCCAGGAGAAACTACCAAGTGGCAATTATCCTGGCCCTCTCGGTCATACAATCTTTCTACTACCTCTTCCATGATGCTTCCTAGCCTTGATGTAGGGGTTGTGTTGTAAGCATATCAATTGGGGATGGATATTCCATGTGACTTAGAGTTTCTATTGCTGTGAAGAAACATCACGACTCCAGCAAAATCTTATAATGGAAAACATTTAATTGGGGGTTTGCTTACAGTTTCAGAAGTTTAGTCCATTGTTATCATGGTGGGGAGCATGGCAGCATGCAGACAGACATGGTGCTGGAGAAATAGCTGAGAGTTCTATGTCTGGATCTGCAGGCAACAGGAAGAGACTCTGGGATTGGCATGGAGTTTTGAAACCTTAAAGCCCACCCCTAGTGACATACTTCCTCCAACAAGGCCACATCTCCTAATTCTTTCAAACAATTCCATTCCCTGGTGACTAAGTATTCAAATATACAAGTCTATGGGGGCCATTCTTATTCAAACCACCAGACCACAGTAAATTGTTATTTGCATTTTGACCAGCAGTGAGAACTACACTGGCCTGTGAGTACAGGGATTCCATAGTTAGGAAGCAGTTGGGAATGTGGCAATAGGAGGCAGCACCTGTCATTCACAGTCAGGCGTGTTTCTTAGACACAGTAACTAGAAGGATTCATTCAATCTATTCTGCTAGTGTGTGTCTTTTGATGAAATGAAAACCATGGGATGGAATGAAACCATTAATATCCAGGATTATTACTGAAAGACATTTATTAATTCCTGTCATTTTTTTGTTGACATTTGTAGTGTTTGGTGCTTTCCTATTTATTCCTCTCTTGCTTAACTATTCTTCAAATTTGAGTTGTTCTTTTTCTTAGGGACTCATGGAAGTGCTAGTATCTTTTTTCCCACTATTTTTTCTTTTTAAGTCTGATAGATCCTTCAACTGTCTTCTCTAGATATGGTCTAGTGGTTATGAATTCCTTTGGCCTTTTTTATCATTGAGTTTTTCTTTCTCCTTTATGACAGATGGCTGTGCTATGTCTGTATTGAAAATTATTGAATTTCAGAATTTAAAACATATCATTTCATACTCTCCTGACTTTTAAAGGTACTGCTAAGAAATCTGTTATTCAAGTGGGCCTGACTGTGCATGTGACTTGGTGCTCCTCTCTTGCCACTTTTAATATACTTTCTTTGTTTTATATTTTTAGTATATATTGTAAGGTGATGAGGAGAGGTTCCTTTCAGGTCTTGTCTGTTTTATATTCTAAATGAGTCATGTATTTGGATTGGTATCTTTCCCCCTAATTTTGAGAAATTTTGTTCTATGATTTTTCAAAACATTTTCTATGCCTTTAGAATTTCTTCTTTTCCTTCTATTCGCTACTCTTAGATCTGATATTTTCATAATATTCAAATGTCTTGAGAGTCTTGCTCATATCTTGATATTATTTTTATCTTTTTCTTTATTAAAATGTTCCAACCTCAACCTGGTCTTCAATTTCAGATATGTTGTTCTCTCCTTGGCTCATTATATTCGTATAACCTCCATGGAACTTTAATTTGACTTACTTGTATTTTCCACTTCCAGAATTTTAGATTTCTTTTATCATTTATTTATTTTCTTCATATCTTTATTTTATTTCATTTCATATTCTGAATTGATCACTTCTTTCTTTCATTTAGCTGTGGGTTTTTTTTTTGTGTATTCACTTGAATTCATGCAGAAGTTTATTTTTTTAAACAGGGATTGGAAGGGAAAAGGGTAAAGGGAGGGAATATTGGGAGGGGCAGCCAAAATTAAGGGCAGCCACTTGAGGGGGTTGTATGGAAACTTAATACAGTAGAAGCTTCCTATGATGTATACATATATGAAGGCAATCTAAATGAAGTGCCCAGATAATGATAGAGATAGAGTTGTAACTGAATATCTCTTATCACCAAATGAAGCTTCCAGTACTGGGAATGGGTTACATCTAATCAAGTTCTTGGCCAAACAGGTTCCATAGGGACCTCCTAACCACCTAGGCTTTTGCCAAGGTTGCTTTCTGCAAGCTCATGGCAAGGCCCCATTGCTGAAGACAGTACCTACACAACTCATTGAACATGGAGAAGGTAACCTAGTGCCTACTTAGGGCCTTCACCTCTGCAGACTAGTGATCATGGTGCTGAAAGGTATATTGCACACTACCAAAGAAGAAAGATAAAATCAACTGTCTTAGGGTTTCTGTTGCTGTGAAGACACACCATGACCATGTGAATTAAAGTAAAACATTTAATTGGAGTGGATTACAGTTCAGAGGTTTAGTCAGTCCATTATCATCATGGTGGGACATGGAGGAGTACAGGCAGACATGGTGCTGGAGAAGGAGCTGAGAGTTCTACATCTTGATTTGCAGGTAGCCAAAGGAATCTGCATAGTGGGCATAGCCTGAGAATATGAGACATCAAAGCCTGCCCCCACAGTGATACACTTTCTCCAACAAGGCCACTCCTCCGAGTAGTGCTACTCCCTATGGGCCAAGCATTCAAACACATGAGTCTATGGGGGCCATACCTGTTCACACTAACACACCAACCCAGCTACAAACCCTTTGATCTACAGTGGTGACCTGCCTGTAAGATACACAGGTGCAATGGTGGCACAGAGCTTGTGGGAGTTACCAAGCACTACCTGATTTGACTTAAGATCCACTCCATGGGACGGGATCCATATTCAACACTGCTTGGATGACAAAGAACTTAAGACTAGATAATCCAGGGACCTAGGGGAAAAACCAAATACTACTGTTCTGCTAATAGAACATACCAATGAAATGACTCCTAATGACATCCTGCTATATGCACAGATCCATGCCTTGCTCAGCCATTATCAGAGAAGCCTTCTCTTGCAGCAGATGGGAACAAAAACAGATACACATAATTAGATAATATTCAGAGAGTGAGAAATTTGGAAGACTCAGCCCGAGATGGGACATCTCTCTAAAATCTCCCCCTTCAGGGCTCAGGGAACTCTCTGGAAGAGGAGGCAGAAAGAGTATATGTACCAGTGGGGATGGAGGGTACCAAGGAATAAAGGCTTTCTAGACACAACAGGGCTGGAACACCTATGAACCCACAGAAACTGAGGCAGTATGTGAGGGCCTGCACAGGTCTGCATCAGAGGAGGTCCTAGAGCTGAGAGAAGGGACACATGCCCCCATCCCTCACTCAGAAGCCATCTCTAATTGGCAGCCACATGCAAATGAAAAATCAGTTCTCTCCAACAAAGTCTCATTTGGGAAACAAACCACTCTTAGGTAGTCCCCATGCCCAGCAGTAGATGGCCAACACAAAATGAACCTAATAGCTTGATTACAGGTTCTTTGTCTCATAATATTAAGTCAGGGCATTACTTTCCCCCTCCTCTTTCACTTTCTTTTTTCTTGTTTTCTTA